CTCCAGCTGGGCCAGGGGAGGGGCAGGTGGGACATCAGGAGGAATTTCTGCCTGGAAAGGGTGGTCAGGCCCTGGCAGGGGCTGCCCAGGGAGGGTTGGAGTGCCCAGCCCTGGAGGTGTCCAAGGCAGGCCTGGCCGTGGCACTCAGTGCTCTGGGCTGGGCACAGGGTGGGGATGGGGCACAGGGGGATCCATGGGCTGGGAGGGCTTTTCCAAGCTCAGGGATCCTGGGATTCTCCAACACATTCACTTGCTTGTTTAAGCTGTAGCTTAAAACTTCGACTTCAGAATCACAGAATCAGTGAGGTTGGAAAAGACCTCTGAGACCAAGTCCAGCCCATGACTGAACCCTCACCCCAGACCAGAGCCCTGAGTGCCATGTCCAGTCTTGCTTAAGGGTGGGAGGAAAAAATCCAACACCCCGAGTCCAAGGGCAGCTGTGCCCTCCCTGAGTGTTACCTGTGGTGATCTGAACACCTGAGGCAGGTGAAGGACAACCTGCAGGAGGAGAAACCGGCCCTTACCACTCCAGTCACAGCACCCCTGAGCATTCTTTTTTCAGAAGCCTTTCCTACCCTCCCTCCTGGTGTGGACCAACCCCGGACAGACCTGCCCTTGCTCCCTGGGCCTGAACTGCTGCCCCTGGTTTGTCTGCAGCCAAGCTCAGTGTGACCAGAGCACCTGCCTCCTGCCCCAGCTGGGAAGACATCATTGGTATCAGGAATTTTAAGGGATATGGGAAAGCTCCTCCTGGCTGGTGTTGCTCAGCTGAGATGCTCTGGCTGAGGCTAAGCATCCACCTTCACACTGGAGCAGCAGGATCTGGGTGGGAGGCTCTTTGCCCGTTCCTGTCACATGCAGGTTGGTGCAGCAAGAGTTGTTCTTGAGACCTGAGACTTCATTTTTTGTAGTCCCTGCCCATCCCTGTCTTTGATCTGCAACTGGAGCAGACAGGGGAGCCTGGGCTCGCTGTGCTTGGGTCTCTGGATACCCGAGTTTGGGAGATGTGCCATTTCTGCTGGAGCAGAAATAACAGTGATGCACAAATGTCAGGCTGTCTGAGTGCAGAAAAGGGCTCACCATTCAGCTCGTGGTGCAGGTCACAGCATCGAGCTGAGCTCAGCACCAAATGAAAAATATAAATGTGCTCCCCTCGGTCAGTGCAGTCACAGGAGGAGCTGCTGCTTGCAGGAAACTGCCCACCGGTCCCCCTGCTTGGTGTAACCAGGCACATGGATGTGTATTGTTAAAAAACCCCAAATATTCCTCATTTCACCCTTTACTGGCAGCACCAGCAAGCCTGGTTTCTGCTTCCCAGTTCTGCATTCCAAGAGGAAAGGAGGAGCAGCGAGGCCTGGCTGCTGTGGAGGGATGCCCAGAGCTGTCTCCTTCAGTGTCTCAGCTGCTCCTGGCCAGACGCTGCTGTTTCCTCACTGATCTTGGCTGGTTCTCCTGTCTCTGCCCCTTCACGTTTCAGTGAGAGAACACAAGTGGGTCTGGTTGGCCACGTGCACTGGGCTCGCCTGGGGCGTGTCTGGGACGCTCCAGCTGCACCGGGAACACTCCCAGAGGCACCTCACCCTGACAGGAGGATGAGGCTGCTGGACAGAGATGTGGTGAAACTCTTTTCTTCCTTCCAGCTGCCAAGATCCACTCTCTGGGTCCCTTTCACCCTCCAGAAAGCAGTTCTGTTGCAGCCTGGCTTTTGTTCCAGTTGCACTCTCAGGTGGTTTCCTGGCTAAAAGTGCTGATTTTCAGCCTTTTTTCACACCAAATATTGCAGTGGATCAGGTGTTTTTTTTCCTGCTGTGTAAAGGTGAGCATCAGCCTTGCAGTGCTCCCATCCAGGAGCCTCGACTGCCTTCAGCACATGGAATTGATCCAGCTTGGAATTGGGAAGGGAGTTTGGGGGGGCAGGTGTGGCCACTTCCGACCACAAGAGGTCGGAGGGGCTGCAGGTTTGGGTTTGGGAGCCAGGCAGGATGGCTGGATTGGATGGATGGATGGAGGGATGGATGGATGGATGGATGGATGGATGGATGGGTGGGTGGGTGGATGGATGGATGGATGGATGGATGGATGGATGGATGGATGGATGGATGGATGGATGGATGGATTTCCACCCACCTGCCTGCCAGACCATGGGCTGGGAAATCCCTGGAAGGGATCTGGCCTTGATCAGCTGGAATCCAGAGAATAAATGAAGTGCCACTTCCAGGCTGTCCCTGGAGCTGGTGCTGGGCACGGAGAGGCTCAGGGCACAGCCCGGGGTCCCGAGCTGGTGGCACAGCTGAGCTGGGCTGGGAGGAGGCGCCTCTGCAGCGCCTGCAGAGGATCATCAGCCCCTGCTGCCTGCCCGCATTTGTTTCCTCACACCGAAGGGCTTCAGCTTTCCAAATGTTCCAGCTGCCCGTGCCCCACACCCTCAGGGGTACCCGCTCATTCCCATGTCGTGGATGAGCCCAGCCCGCCCTCCCCGCCTGCCCCGTTGGGTTTGGAGCTGCACCGCGTGCTCAGATATTCTGACAGCGCAACTTTTGAAACACCGGTTTTTTGTCTTGCTGTAATTAAAGCCAGAATTTGCCCTTTCTAAGCTGTTATTTCTGGAGCTGGAGCCCGGCCTGCGCTGCTGCTGCTGCTCAGGGGCTGCGAATGCCATTGTCCCGGGCAGCGAGCACAGCCCGGCACAG